CACTATGATCTGTCTATACATCCGTACAACAGACTCCAATCATTTACTTCTCTGATCCTTTTCCCCCCACTTGCTTCCAATCTGATAGTCTCCCATTTACCTTCATTTCTATTTTTTGTTGTTGTTGTTAGGATTAGATTCTACACATGAGAGAAAATATGAGATATTTGCTTTTCTAAGTCTGGCTTATTTCATTTAACATGCTGATGTCTAGTTTCATTCATTTTCTTACAAATGACATGTTTTAATTTTTTATTACTGAATAACACTCTATCATATGTAAATGAACCACATCTCTATCATATCTTCCCCAATTTTCATTCTAACTGGAGAGATATTAACATTGGATTTAAATTCATAATCAAATTATAGTTAGCAATGGGAAGTTTCAAGGTGAACACTATAAGGCAAGCCTACTTTTTTGCATGTGGAAACATAATATTCAGTTCTAATCCCAGCTTTAATTGTTACTTTGCCAACTGTTGCTCCTAAAGTATGCTTTTTAATCTAACCTTTTATGTGGTCTCACAACTCATTTCTGGTATTTAAGGTGATTACAAAGAACTAGTTGCCATGTTGAATTTTATTCTTAACCCTCTCATAAAGTAGGTAATACTGAGTTTCAACAAGTCCACAATCAAATTTAGTTCAATGTATCAAATATACTTGAACAATAGGAGAGTATATGTAATGGTATATGTTGTGTGAAACATGGATCTGAGCAGCCAGGCAACCCAGTGAGGGACAGAGACCATCTTTCTATGTGTGTTTGGGATGTTTCCTAGCTCCTAAGGCATTTGCATTATGACAAAATAAGGCAACAATTGCTTGACTCAAACACAATCGCTTTTCTAAGTGTGGTGAATGCATGTTTTTACATTGGGAACTATGGTGATGATTTAGTAGAGATTATCCTGTAATTATTCCATCTTTACTGGTGTTAAAAAATATGCAGTCATCTGCAAGAGGTGAGACTCACAGACACAATGATGATTTAAGGAAAAAGGAGGAAAGAGAAGACATTTGCAGGGAAACCTCTAAGAAATTTACAACTCTGTTACAAAGTGACTGTGCCACCCATGGCATGTGTAAATATTAGCATTCAGAATCATTCTTTCTAAATGTGAATTTCCTTTTTAAATATGAATGCTCATGAAAGCTGTTCCCTGATTGGGTGGGGGTGGGAAGGTGCCTTTATGTGAATGTATGTGAATGACTGCTGAGCCTAGCAGCACTTCATTCTGTGAAAGGCTGGCATGATGTTCATGACTCAGAAACTAACCATGCCATCTGAGGCTTATTTTAAATGTTGGTCTATTTCCTCAATTTTAAGAGTTCAGGACTAACCTGGTGGGAAGGGAGTGGGCTTGCTGCAGGACTATCCTTGCAGGTCCAGGTGATCCACAGATAACCTGCTGGCATTCAACCTTAAGAGAGCTCTACCATATGAAGGGAATTACTGTAATTGCAGAAGCTTTGGAGCCATTATGGTTAGGAGGGCAGAACCATATGACACTGGAGTTGAGATTTTAACTCTACTACTTATTTTTCTGTGAAAATTGAACTTCATCCTTGGCAGAATGAAACGAATTATAACTATACAAGAGGATGGTTATCATCTGATAACATATATAATGCACATAAACATCTTGGAAATAGCAAAATATTTGCTACATCAGTAAATGGAGCAGAGACCTGAAACTCCATTGAGAACGGGATTTGTCCCTCTGACATAAGATGAAGCTGGTCTAAGGACTTGATCTCTCACAAAGTGGAATGAGGAACTTTAGTTCTGAGATCAGACTGTTTTGGTTTCAGTTCAGCCTTCATCTTTTATTAGTTGTTTGAGTTCTTAATCAGTTTCCTTATCTTTAATCAAGTGCAATAATAGTGTATATTCTATGGGAGTGTCATGGAAATGAATGAATGTAACACAATGAGCACTCTGTACCATTAGGCAGGCTTCTGTGATTCTTCATAGTAATAATGATAGTGATAATGAAAGGTTAAGCAATACTTTATACTCAGCAAAGATGACTGAGAATATTATTAGACTATCTAATCTTAAACTTTTCTTTGGATTGTATTTGATTTAGTTATGCAGATACTTTTTATGAGCTTCCATTTGCCATTGTTTGTGTGCTTATATTGTCTGGTTTTTGAAGTTTACATTAGTAAACAAATGTATGCAAATTAAAGCTTTCTGAAACAGAAGTGTAAATTGACCCCATGGTGAATTATCATTTTTGTTACTGGATTGAAAGGTGTAAATACTAATTACTGGAGCAATTACACACACCACGTAAAATGTTACAAGCTAGGGTCAACCAAATGCTAAATGGGTCTTCCAAACCCAGTTTGCTTTATTAAAATTTTAGTGACATTAACAGGGATAAAAGATGGAAAAAGATAACTAAATTTGAGGTGTCAAAAATTGTAACAATATTTTCTGGTTATATATCAGAGGAATTATAGAATACAGAATAATATAGAGAATAAAGAATAAAGAATGCAATGACAGTTTTAATTTTTGTTTTCACTTTTCAGCAGCGCCAAATGCTCGTAGTAGCTAAAATGAATGACACTTAGGGAAGGAAAAAAACTTCCCCCTTGAATGTCTTTAAAATCCATAATAATAATATAATAATATAAAGTGCATCTGGGCATTGCCTTCTGCTGCAGTTCTTGCCTGGCTCATATCCAGAGCTGTCAGGCTCCTCTTGAGTGCTCATGATTCATATCCCAGCACCCTTTTATCTGAACATTGCAGTGTCTTTTCTTTGTACTTTGGCAGTGATGTTACCTTGATGTTCAAAAATCTTTTAAGAGCAACAGTGTTTTCCTTGCATCTTGACAAATCATTGTCTGCCAGTAATGAAGAAAATGTAAACCTGTGATCATTGTAAACATAGAGAAATAAATACTTGCATGCTTTTTTTAAGTGGTTATCTATTTGAGGGTTCTCTGACTGAAATATGAATATTCTGACAATGTTTCTTATTCTTCATGGGTAAATCACATTTGCATTCACAGGGAATTGTTCATGTTTCCTCATCTGTGAGGTGAGACATCAAGGCAGGTTCTCATTATTATTCTAAGATGTAAGGAAACTGAGGCCCAGGATGATTTATGAGTCTTCTGCTTAACCAACAGCACATTCAATGCTTAAAGCGAGGTCTATTCACTATGAATGGTGCCTTCTCTTTTTTTTTTTAGACAAAATAATATAAGCACAAGGAAGAGAATCTCAACTTTGTCAATGAATATTTAGCATGAAGAGCAAAGGTGCCAAATTTCTATGATTGCCAGAAGTCCTTGGGTCCTACATTTTATAGAGAACACACCAGAAAACTGGAGGACATGAGGAGGTCACAAAGCTATAATGATGAGGAACTGTCCCAGAGATAACCAACACAACCTGATTTTCATGTCTGGAGAAAGAAGGATACAGAGAGACAAAGCTGACATCTTCAAATGTTTTATAGACTACCTTGTAGAAGAGGAATTAGATTTGTTCTTTGTAACTCCAGGCAGTAAAAGTAAGATCACTAGCTAGAAATTACACAGAAACAGATTTATGCTCAATATAAGAAGAAACTTTGTAACATTTAGAGATGTCCAAAAATGGAATTGACTAGCTCATCATCTCTGGGAAGTGTTCATGCTGAGACTGTCCAAGTTGAAGATTATATGACTTTATGAGCATGCATTTCAGCAGCAACACAGTTTTATGATGCACCTTTCTAAGGGTTCAGGGAAGAATTTCTTTGCTAGCTAAAAACAAGAGGGTTTTATAGGCTTTTCCACCATAATGTTAGACTGAGAAAGTTGTACCCATAACAATTTCTGTTTCATACATCACTGTGTCCTGTGAAATATTTTTTGCCTGATTGGGGAAAGATGTTATTAAGATTAGAATTGAAGCAGACAGGTTGGGGCTGTGGCTCAAGAGGTAGAGTCCCTGCCTAGCAAGTAGTAGAGTAGGCCATGAGTTTAAACCTCAATATTTCCATTAAAATAATTAAGACAGATAATGTGGTATTTGAAGTGATGGTGTGTGTGTGTGAGAGAGAGAGAGAGAGAAAGAGAGAGAGAGAGAGAGAGAAACAAAGAGAAACAGAGAGACAGAGAGAGAGAGAGCTTGTACATGAGTGTATATTTTAACTATGAAATTTCCATGAATTTCCATTTTGCTGTTGTCACATGATTTGTTGATTGATGTCTCTGCTAACCAGTCCATATCTACACATCACCTATACAATTAAAAGAAATAGGGAGAAAATAATTCAGTTTAGATGGCTTCATTTTTCTTTAATAAGGAAAAGTAAATGCTGTTAAGTTTGCAAAGATAAAATAAGTTTGTGCCATTCACAGATTTACAAGACATTGAACTGGAAACCAGTATGTATTCTAGGTTTTGTTCAAGTAATACTGCATCCATATGCCCTAGATTTTTGTATTATCTAAGATGGGAGTATTCTAGGAATTTTCTTTCTAACTTTAAATTTGTATGATATGAATTCTCCCAATAGTTTAGTTCTTTCTCTAAATTTGCATATGAAGTTGAAGGTGGCCTCAGTTTTGACAGACAAATTTCATCATTTACTGTTCTTTAATTTGCTCAGTCATTTATTCAAAAAATGTTAATTAAACTAGGAAATATGAAAATTGTTCTCTATACATATGATTTGAGGACAAAAGAAAAATCAAGAACAGCTAATCATAGTCGATCAGTTTGAAAGAGTTACTTTATTAATGAAAGAAAAGCTCTTGTAAGGTATTTTGACTGTAATATATTAGAATTCCTCTTTAAAATGGCTTACTGATGCATGGGTGTAAGGATGCCATACTTCAGACCATGCCCCAGTCATAAAGACATTCAGCAAGCACTTACTGTACCAGCTCCTTTGAATGAAGAATTATTCCAAGTTCAACCCTGAATTCAGTAAAAAACTTTTTCTCTCATAAATTGTCTCATTATTTGCTTCTTCTTCCAACAGATTCCAGAGGGGTGATTACCACATTGACGTCTGCATCAATGACTACCTGGATGTTTTCTGCCCTCACTATGAGGACTCTGTCCCAGAAGATAAGACGGAGCGCTATGTCCTCTACATGGTGAACTTTGATGGCTACAGTGCTTGTGACCATACTTCCAAAGGGTTCAAGAGATGGGAATGTAACCGGCCTCACTCTCCAAATGGACCACTGAAGTTCTCAGAAAAGTTCCAGCTCTTCACGCCATTTTCTCTAGGATTTGAATTCAGGCCAGGCCGAGAATATTTCTACATCTGTAAGTACACAGATTTATCATGTTGTTGGGCAATTGCAAGAACTGTATTTTTTAAACCCATGTTTCAGAGAATTGCAGTGCTGGACTTTGCATTACAGATGTCTCCTTATAAATGCATACATCATGATCCCCAGATACATTTGCTGGGAATTGAGAGCACAAATTAGATTAAGGACACAGTGCCTCTCCCCCCCTACGAAATTGCGTGTCAGCCTGTTCAGTGAACCACTGCTGACTTGTGTTTCTTTTAAATGAAAATTGCCAAGACTTTTCTAAAGCTCAGGAAAAGAAAACAAAAAAAAAAGATTCCTGTAAAAAAAAATTAAAGGAAATAATTAAATTTACATAACTAGGAGTCATTGGATTTCTTATTCAGGTGTCAGCAATATCCTTTCAATCATCTACATTTGTAGTGGAGAAAGCCAAAACGCCTGCAAATGTCAGCATGCTGACGATAAATGCTCTCTTTGCACCATAGATAAAAGACAATTATTAAGAGCAGCTGCATCTTTAAGCAGGAAAGAAGTATCTAGCAAGAGTTTCAAGGGAACTAGTATGAGTGAGTTCCTCACCTGTGAGCACTGAACTCCAAAACTTTCTCGGCAAGCTTCTGCCTTAGTCACTGTGCCATGGCTTATGTTCGTCTCCATTGCCCACAATATTACTTCTTCAGACATCCTAACATTGTATATTATAACTAAAATGCTTCCAAACATCTCCATACAGAAGGCTTACATTCTTATTTGGCATCAACTTTAGAGTTAGGAAATGAGGCATAGCCTGAGATTCTATTTGCAGGGAGCTCCCAGGCCATTCTGATGTTACTAGGCTGTGGGCCACAGGTTGAGTAGCAAAGTTCTAGGGAATACTTGCTATGGGCAGTTTGGTATATACCTGGCCTTTCCTTTCATTAGTACCAGCCATTTATACTAGCATTCCCACATAGTTCATTGTCAACTGAAACAGAAAGCTTATTTGTTCATGGTGCATTTATTGAACAGCTCATGTTGGCTCAGTAATACAGGGGGTGTAAGATGGTAAGACAATTTTTGGAGAAACCTAGTGAGAAGCAGACTTGGAAATAGGCAATTAGAGTATAAATAGGCAATCGGTGAATAAAGATAAATGCAGACAGCAATGGGAGCTTGGGGGTAGTTGAGTCTCACCTACGTAGAAGAATCAGGAAGTATTGCACTCAGTGCAATTAGCATCGACTTTTCACCCCAGCTTGCCAGGCAAACAGGATAAAGAACATTCCTGTTTTTCTGACTCATTTCTTCAGTCCAAATGTTTCCACCCACATGGTTAACATCTACTTCAATTTCTAGCTCCTCTTCTTTTAAAAAGAAACCAGCATTTTATAATCAGTCCAATATCACCATCACCAGGACTCTCACACTTATATTGGAATTGAATTTAAAAAGGAAATTGAGCAGTACCAGTTTTATTATTTCCGTACATATTTCAGTTGTTAGTCATGAAAAAACATGGAAAAGCTTGGCTTGATACTATCTTACATATGATCCACAAAGTAAGAAAGGAATATCGAATTCCACAGATTCAGGAAACACTGGTATACAATGAATTCACACATTCTCAGTCAGCATGCTCTTGAATTTTGCTGATTTTTTTCTTTTCTTTTAAGTCTGTGAAAGAATCACACTGAACAAAAGAGAAAAACAAAAGAGAGGACTTCATCTGTAGAACAGTATCTTCTTAGTTGCATAATTGTAAAGCATTACACAAAATGTAAGAGGAAAGTACTACCAATATTGACATTTTCTTATTGACTTCTTAGATTAAAAACAAAAACAGACCAAAAACGAATAGAAAACACCAAGATGTAAAACATACCCACTGCTAACTAGTTGATTGCATGATTATTAGAAATTATAGAACCTTTTGAGGTTCGTAAGCAAGATGTTATTATTCAAATATACTGTAGTGCTTATGACTGGGTTTTCCTCATTTGTGGTTAAATTCAATATTTCACTAAAAATCATTATGTGTCTTCTATAACATTCATTTAACAGAGTCATTTAACTGTCAAGGGCTCCTGTCAAAGTAATTGCTCCAAAATGCTTCAAAATATCAAGAGCTTTTTGCTGTTCGCCTGAGTTTAACTTAAATTACTTTTTTTAATGAAAGGTAAAATAGCACAAAATTAGCAGCAAAGTGATGTTCATTTACAAGAAGCATAGTGGTCTGGTGTTCAATTAAACTGAATTTTCAACCACATGTTCAACTCACAAAAGCATCTTTCCCTATCTTTTCAGTGGTGAGTCTCCTCTCTTTCACTACTGAGAGCAATAGGAGAGCTAACATGGATGTCTTATAGTCATTTAATGTACTGTGCTCCATAATTAAACTAAAGGATTCTTAGGAGAGAATTGGCCCTCAGTTGAATTTTCCTCTCTCCTAATATGCGTGGAATGAACACGATGATTGGGAAATGGCTTTTTCACTTATTACCTTACAAGAAGCTCGATTGCTGATCTTAAGAACAAGCTTGACTGCCCATCAGCCAGTTGCACAGAGAGAGAGGAGGGAGGGAGAGGGAGAGGGAGAAAGGGGGAGGGAGGAAGAGGGAGAGGGAGAGAGAGGGAGGGGAGAGAGAGGGAGAGGGAGAGGGGCCCTATGGCTTACTGTTTGTCTATCAAGTCTTATAGTACTAAAGGTAGGCTTTAGTTGTGACATGGATATAAGAATATAGATAGGAAACTTAAATTTTGGAGGAATGGAAATGGAATGAATGTTCTTAACCTGAATCAGATAATCCTTATCAAGTGCCAATTTCTTTTCAACAAGATTTTTCTTGTAATGGCTATAGAGTTATATGAAGTTAAGAAAACACAGTAGTCGAAAGCATCTCCTAGGAAGTTAACAATTTGTCTTAAAAATGGAACATCCTTCTCAGTTCTAGATCCTTTATTCATTCCTAACTACTGTATCTATGCCCTTAGGAACAGGAGGTAGATTAGGTAGGTGAGGTAGTTATATTTTAATTATTTTTCAGGTAGGGTCTTGAGGTTTTTGCCCTGTTTAGCTTCAGATATATCCTTCCCATAACCTTCTGCATAGCTGAGCTCACAGACATATATAACCAAGCTCAGCTTATTGATTGAGATGATGATAAGGAGGAGGTCTTACTAACTTTTTACCCCAGCTAATCTCAAACTAAGATCCTCCTGTGTCTCTAGGATTGTAGAATGAACCCAATACTGTTCTTAGGCTACAGAAGTTATTTTGGTAAGAGTTGGCATATTAAGGTAATCACAAAAACTAGGCATTTTATCGGTGATAGCTTTGCAGAGCTGCTGATTGATTAAGGTAATAGTTACTTATAGAATTCCTAAGGGAAAGAGTGATTTTAGAACCTTCAAAAATTTACTAATTTTAGGAACTTCAAAAATACGCACTTTAGAAATGATTCTCATAAATATTAGCCTAATGAGAAGATGTTCAGAAGAACTTTTTCTGCTGTTATTTTTAAATCAGAAGTTATAAAGAGAAATCACTTAATATCCTTAATATCCTCAACTTACTTTTTATCTAGAGTTCTGCAGCCTCAGGGTAGCGATAATAGTGGTACAATAGCCTAGGTATCTATAAATACTAGTCTGGCATGGATCTTCATACCAGTGATCCCAAGTACTTAGAAGGCAGAGATGCGGACTGCTATTCGAGAGCAGACCAGTTCCCCACCCAAAGTTATTAAAACCCAGGCCAAGTCTAGTGACACAGTCCTTTGATCCTAGCTATGTAAAAGGCAGAGGCAGGAGAATCCAGGTCCAATTTCGTTCTTAGCAAAAGCAACAAGACCTTATCTGGAATGTAACTAAAGCAAAACAGGCTAAGGGCATGGTTCATGAGATCGAATATTTGCTTAGCAAGTGGGAGACCCTGAGATCAAACCCAGTACCATCAAAATAAAATAGAAAGTACAGGGAAATCCATGAAAAACAAGTGTGTGAAGTAGAGAGGTGCATTGAAATTGTTGAGCTAGCTGGCTCTCTGTGTTGCCCTGGCAAACCACCATCATCTGTGGCTTCCACTAGGGCAGCAGGTGTGAATGTGTTTTCTCTCACTGTTCTGTCAAAGCCCTTCAGTTACTTCTTAGCTTACCAAGGCAAAAGTACAATCTCCAACCTGACGGGGATGGCTGGTCCCTTGGCCTCTCTGACATCTCCTACTACTTCATTCCTTATTCTGTCTGCTCTTGTCACTCTGCCTTCCTTCCTGCTCCTCGTGTCTGTGCAGCATTAGTCCAGCATCAAGGCCTGGCATTTTAATGTTCTTCTGCCTGAGCTTCTTGTTGCACCAAACTGTCACAACCCTTGCTCCTGTTCTTTAGAGGTGTGCTCAGAAATGTCTTTGTTGGTGAGGCTATTCTGACCTCCTGATACAACACCTTTATCATCCTACTCTCCTTCATTTTTCCTCAGGCACTTCTCACCCCTGACATTACACATCAAGGGCTGATGGTGCACCGCTGTCTCTTCTGTGCCTCGTGTATCATGTTCTTCGGCATATAGAAAGTGTTCTGTAAATTGAGATAGATGTAGGATGTACTCTGTTCTAGGCACTATTCTAACACATTGACATTCTCAAAGCAGCTCAATGAGATGGCATTCACCTTCCCCTTTGAATGGAGGAAGACACTGAAGCACAGGTGAGGTAATTTGAGAAAAGTTCACACAGATAAGAAGTGCCTGGTTTAAGAGGAAATTGAGTAGGCAACTGAAAGACGTGAGAAGATAAAGTCCTAGGTCTTGTGTATTTCTGCAGGAAAAATACCTTTGATGATGAGGAAAGATTAAATAGCATTCTCATGGACATCTACTGTTTAGAACCAACTAAACAAACTCCTCTACTAGTTCTCCCTACAAACCCCAAATGATTATCAGAAAATATATGTTAATTGCATCTATACATATTCAGCCAAAGAATGCTTTGCCCCTTCCAGAAGGCATATCAGCTGCATCTTTCTAGAAGCCAGT